ACACTAGCTTTCATTTTTGGAAACCACTATCACACCACGGAACTCCGAAAAACCAGCCCTAAAATTCCGCCGTGTCAAACCTCATGTACCCAGTGAAACAGTTTAAATGCTGCGCAGCTATCTTCTGAGCAGTCCTCAATTTTCTTCTTTTCCTCAGCCCATTATCTACCCAATCCTCCGCAATTGACCACCTCTCACCGTCTCCACGTCGCTTCCATGTCACTATCGTTCCTTTAAAAAACCAACCAATTGGCTAACAGCTGAAATTTTCACCCTCCTAAAAACCCAGCAAAAAGCTTCAACTGAACAGCGAATAACTTTATTCCTTCATTTTACCACACAACTACTTCACTGATTTCTCTGCCACGATACTACAAAAAGCAATTTAATAATGAAATTAAAAAAGCAAAAAACAGAGAACATTAGAAAACAGCAGGATTTCCGACGCTACTCCCGACCTACTCTATACATCGCAACAAATTTTTTTGATCACGTTCCATACCACACGATTGAAACACATATTTCTAACATTCCTCTATCCAAAGATTTATCGGTATTCGTGATTTCTGCCATCATCGTCACCACCGTTAAACAACTGAACGATGCCTCAATCCCTTCTCCATACTTCTCCAGAGCTTCCCACAAAAAATCTTTTAGAATATTTTGTAACCTGTTTGTTAACTTTCCACAACACGATATCCTGTAAATGTTTATGACGCTAATTAACTTACAACTCCAAACAAAAACATCTTTGATAAACACAAAACAATTACATCAAACTTCCTCTAAAGAGCCCGCGTCATAAACCCACTGTACTTGACACGAATACCACCTACACCACTCCCTTTTACTTAAAAAAATAAAAATAAAAACACTCAGCAAGCGGCGTACACCGCTTCACATCTGAACGCTTCAACTGTTCCAACAATGCTACGTCTTCCACATAAAAAAATTCGCCAGATTATGTCTCAGCGGTCCAGAAACTAGTGTTTTACTGCACAAACTACTGAAATAAAACTTCGCACTGTACCTTCACTTTTCTCTAACCTTGCCCTAACTCATCTACTGCCATCCACTTCCGCAGTGGTACTTCCTAACCACAAAATCACTTACGTCCAGCTTAGTTCTTAAAAAGATAGAGGAAAGTGCAATACTGCATTACAGCAAAAAAGATGCCCTGCTTCCCACGTCCCTGAAAAGTTAACTGTAAGAAAATAAAGGATATAATTCTTTAAAGTAAAATCAATTATGCAAAACTAACCTGACACATACAAGCAGTAAAACTTCTAAGTCGAAGCGGGATTTTTGAACGCCAGTAAAAACGCTTCATCTTGACCTTCTTGACGTCTCTTTTCACTAGTTTCCACATCACTTCTCTCTCCTCTCCTTCTCGTAAACTGAAGATGATGGAAGCACTTTAAATGGGTCGGATACCGGCAACTTCTCATTTGTTAATTTACCTACAACTTTATCCACGTATGCATCCTATTGTTTACACTTAGGAATAGTGGCAAAAACTCAGAAGAAGAAGTTTGTAGTCACTAGCCAAATTATAATTTTACCACTGTTAAGACTGTGAGGTCTTAAACAGCCAAACGTACATACGTAAATCCTCCATTATTACAGCTTACAAAGAACTATGAACAGCAGTCGTACTCGCCAAATTGATTTCCTCCTACATTTCTGCTCAGCA